TTTCGCGTACGCATTGTACATTATCAACCGCACCACACACGCGTATAATAATAATGATAATAATGTACCAACATACGCGCGTGTGGTTGACATTGTACGCCACGTAAGTTTTCGGTTCGTCAGGAATCGTTTAGACTTCAGAAGTTATATGTAAACTGCTGCATACTCATGTTATATAAGATTCGCCACCCATACACAGTGAACGAATATGAATCCGAACGTTGAAGTTATGGTTCTATAGGACCGTACGTCTGTACGTCTGTTCCGTAAATCGCATTAACTCTCCATCGACCGATGCGTTCAATACGTTACGAAAATAATATTCGTACATATTATTACGGATTTGGCAGTGGAATTGCGCAGTGTCTCGAAGCATATGATCCGATGTAACCGTTACCTATTTTAGCACGTTACGAATTGAATAATTAAAATTACATTTTTATATTTTTTACCTAAATATGTTTACTCGTGTGAATGTAAAATTTAAAAAGTCTCGATATCCTTGGCAGATGCGGTCGCACATAAAATATTTGTCGGAGAAACGACACCTGTTACACGCGACCGCGGCGAATGTCGTAATAATAATGCTGTCGGCGCACGCGTTGTACTGAAAAACTCGTCGTGCGTACACTTGAATTTATTCGTATATATATAGGTATATATATAATTTATACGTGTGTATTTTTTTTTCCTATCCGACGGTGAAAGGAAAACATTATTACAAAGATTATGCTTCGGCGATCCGCATGAATTTACGATTTGTATGATGCACACCATCGTGTATCAATGGGCACGGTACGTTTTATTTCTATACAGGATGTAGCAAAGATACGCTTCACGCATATGCACACGTGTTTAGACGTCACTTAATACATACACATCCCACGAGTACAAGTCAATGGACAAGATACGTATTGGATCTTTATGATTTTAGAAATTTAAAATCTGCTGTCTGTAGAACTAACAGCCGATGATTAAGACGGTTTCGTCACCGACTAGGTATAAAACCCTAGTATTTAACTATATTCCTCGAATTGCCTCCAAGTCAAGCTGCTTACAACTTTTTTTATTTACACGTATTTTTGTTTTGATTATCCTTTGAATGGTGTTATTAAAATTCAAAATTGTAGTGTTCAATCGATTAAAATTATGGTCTTCGGAGTAACATGGCACTATATTATCACGTAACTACAGAATCTAGCAAGCTTAAATCGCATTTTTTAGATGACTTAAATTTTTAGATTTTAGAAAGCATTTATTTACCTATATAAGAAATTTCGGAATTTGATTCTCAAGTGTATGTTAAATTTTTAAGGCAATTTGCGATTTGAAGTTTTATTTTATTATATTTTTGATTTAAAGTTAGTTTTAAATATTTATTCGATTTTTAAATTAGAGAGAGAGTACTCGTATTTATTAGGTTATTATACAAAATAAAGTTTATTCAGTTAGTTGGTGAGCAGATTCTGAAAAATTACGTAACAATTATTGTATTATTTACATTAGTAATTGTCAATTTAGTATACATACTCGTACTGCGATTTTTTTCTCTATTAATTTCAAATCGGTATCATATTTATTTACATATATTATAAAATATTAGATGTTGGTATATTTTATCAAACATTTCATCATTATATACGAAATATATATATATATACTCGTACGTAAAATGTGTAAATATATTTTTTGAAAGTTAAATCTTACAACAAAACTCAAGGTAATAGCTCTCATATTAGTGTCAGGATTTGTGAAATTATAATTAGTGTTACGGTTATTGACTTCCAAAGAATTGTTTGTGGTATACTATAATTATTCATTATATTTATTTTTACAAATCAAAAAAAAGTCTGTAAATCAAATAAATTCTATTTCTAATTGTAGTTCGAACTAATTTCTTCTTCACGTGTTTGAAATAAAGTTGAATTTAAGAATATATTTATCGTTTATAGTATAGTTTAAAATATTTCTTAATTAAATTTGATATTGTTTATTATAAGTTTAGATTATTCTAATTTATGTACCTTATATGGTTTCGAGATGAGGGGTACGATACGAATAATTAAATTAAATTATCATTTTATATTTAGTTTTTTGTTTATGTAACTAAGCTTGTTCTTAAAGATTTTACCTAAATTACTTTCTAGATATATTACAGTTGTATTTTACACATATGATTTTTTTCTAATTGCCCCAAAAAATGTTTACAATGTTAACCAGCTATGTAAATATATATGTCTAATTGCATAAATATCTACGCATTTTTGTTACATTCTCAGCATTGTACAATTATGCTATGATTAACATTACTTCTGTGTCAGCGAATATTTCATAACATATACGATTAGGTGTGATATACTTAACACTTATTATAACCTCAAACTAAAACCAAATAGGAATTTATGTTTTTCATTTTATTTTTTATTTATTATAATGTATGGTGAAGTAACTGCAGTTATTAGGCTGTTTAATTATAAAATATTCCGAACATAATTACCTACATGATAACAATCAATAGACATAACTTCTTTATTAATCATTAGGTATAACCTAATTCCTTTAAAGTCAATAGTCGTTAAATCCTTTATATAAGTATTTCGAAACGAGTTCATTGTTATAGTATTGGAAATAAGAATGAATAAAATAAACTAATAATTATAAATTTATTCAAAAGATTTTATAATTTCGATTGAAATGATCAAGTTGTACAATCTTACGTTGTTCTTTAGAAAACATTTTAATATCACCTTTTGAATTTAAATAATATATTCTTATATTTATTATTTTTAAAATTAGTAAATTATTTTTAACTAAAACATTTTTATATTAGTTAAATATTATTTTACTAAACATTAATTTATTGTGATGTTTATTATTTCATATATAATAAATATTATGATAAAAATTATTGAAATTTATTTGAATACATTTTATATTTACACATCATCGATTTAAAATGATAACAATTAAAAATATCAAACTTATACGACGTATTTATTATAAATTAATTTAGTACGTTTCATTATTATAGAATTTATTGAAAATACTTAAGGATTTTATTTATACGTCCTTATTAATATTTGAATATTACAGATGTCGCAAATGTATAAATATTACTGTCGTACGTACGTGGAAAAATATATCTATAATACAGAATTAAAAATTTAAAAACGGCAAACAAATGTAGACTAATAATAACCGTATAGTTTTGATAGATTAAATTCTATACCTGCTTTTCGAAAGATTATAATCATAAGATGATCATAGAAAAATTGTTATAACTTTTTTATGAAACATGTATTTAAATTTCATAATTTTCCATTTTTTTTCAAAGATAAAAATACTTATTACTAAGAGATATTATCTGCAAGAATACAATTCATCGTAAACTGAATACGTAATATGGGTTAAAGTTGACGTTACATCAATAATAAATTTTCATTGTATCTACGTACATCTAATGATGGGTTCGTTTTATTGTTGAGCGTGTTATATACTGTGTATTCTCATTAGAGTACAGGTGGTTATGAGTACTACTGAATTATTACGTAAGAACATTGATGTTTTGTTACGCCTCCGTGTTTATAAATCTTGGTAGATTCCCAAGATAAAATATGGTGCACATTATAATATACTTAATTGAATGTAACAAGCGAGTGAGCACGTTTCACATGTATTAAGTTTTCGAATTTCAGTAACATTGGCATCGGTTTGGCGGTTTAAATGAAACCTGCGAAATAGTTATGGCAATAGCCGCAAGCTACAAAAGTCAACTCTATCAGTCACGGATTGATAAGTGTTATAATTAGTGAGTTATAAATTATGGACGCAATCTAATAAACCCAAAACATAATATAATTTATGTACGTATAACCGGGCTGCCAATAACAAAATGTACGCACATAATTAACCGTAAACAATCTTTCTTTTTTTTTTTCAATCACGTTTCTCGTAATAGGATCGATGCTCGTTAGTTATGATGTTTCGCTAATAGTTGTAGAAAATAAATTTTTAGAATCGTCATAGCTAAGCACAATTTTATTTTTAATTTGATCAACCATGTGGCACTAATATAGTATTCACTCAATATGGACGCAATAAATACAAGTCTAACTTTTTAATTGCTGTAAAAATAGAAATAGTTGACCACTAAACCTCAAGCTCGTCGAATTTTCTCTTAATGTTACGTATTATTTTTTTGTTATAATATTACCTTTAGATTATGTTAGTTATGATTTCGATCATCGGACGTTCTTTCTTTATCACTTACAGGTTTTTCATTCAACGGGTCAGTGTGGGTAAAAGAATGTTATCTTACACACCACGTGTCGGCCGAAGGAGATTAAAAGTTAACATTATTATAAATTAAGTATATAGTATTATGTTATAATAGGTACACACATGCAATTATTTTGAGATCGGTAGACGTGTTCAAAAGTTATAACATGACGCAACATTTCTCGAGATTTGATACAGCACCGTTGTCATCACGGTGTGATGTGTACGATGTAATATAGTTATAAATCAACTACCCCAATGTGATCAAATTCATCGGTTATTGAAAAACGTTTAATATCATATTACATGTTTTTATGTGTACACATACGGTAGCGATACTTGCTGAAGTTTTAATGTGAATCCTGATCGCCATGAGCTTTTGATCCTGCGGGTTGATTTTAGACCTACACACCGACATTTAATTTCTGCGTTCAATTCCATTTTCTATGAATCCACGATATCGTTTTTACACGATTTTGCGCGTGCTCTAATGACAAAATTCACACGTTTGTTAAAATAAAAAAACTCACAATTATTATGCGTGCATAATAATACTAAATACTATTTCGATCGTCTCTCGTCAATTTTTAGCTGTATTGACACTCGTTACATATCGAATCCATGGCTTTACGCTACTATTTAAAAATTCTTCCCAAGTACTTAAATTACTAAACATTAAACTAACATATACTAAACATTGATTATTTTTGTGTTTGTTACAGTTCGTCAATTATTACAGGTTTAGAGAAAATCATCCAGAATTCTACACGATCAACCCGTTAAATTTGTCTTTCATAGCTGACACAGACGTATTGAGCGTTCTTCCTTACAGAGAACAGACAGGCAGACGAATTTTAATTTACAAATTAGGTAAGGGTAATGGATTTTAATTTTCATATTCATTATGGTGTTTTTATTTACTTTTTTTCATAACAAATTATTTGACCCAGTTTATATATTTTTCATAAATCAAATATTACTGCAATACATATACTCGTAGGTAGCGACGGTTAACGTTTCACGTTCGTCGTGTGCATATATGTAATAATATAGTTTCACAAATAACACGTGCTCAAAAAATTACAATACATTTACGAATAAAAAAAAAAAAAAAAATATGAATTTGCTATAAATAAAACGCAAATATACGTTTTTATTGTGATAGATTTTAAATCATACGCTGACGTAATTCCGATACTAGTATTGGCTGTATAATCACGCTTGAATTTGAATAGTCAATACGCGTTGAATGCAATGCTGTATGTAATAATCTGTTAACAATAAACATATGATAATTCCATACAAAACTATTGGTTAAGGTTATTACTTATTACTTAAGCTTTGATTTGGACACTAAATAGTTATAAAAATGTAATACAAAAAAATTTAATGTACCAACCTCGATTTCACTAGTAAAACTGACGTTCTTTATAACGACCGCGACATGATTATTTAATATAATAGCAAGTATACTATAGTTTTTAAACAAATATATAAAATTTACTATCGCTTCCTTCTTCAAAATGGGGTTTTACATAAGACAATACTATAAGTACCTTAACTAAAACAGATATTGATTATATCGAATTCAATACAGTAGTGCCGAAGTCCTAAAAGTTTAGTCAGGCGAAAAATATATAAAAAGGCCACAGTATCTAAATATCGAATCCAATGGCATACCAGTGGGAGGGGAGAGTGGTTGTACCCAAAAAATATTGATGTAAGCCTTTCATTTTGTAATGAATGTTTCTTACGATTTGGGAGCCAAACTTTGGCTCAATATGAAGTGGGTCCAACTTAAATTTTCAAAAGATGTCGGATGGATGCCCGATTTCAATATAGGTTCCAGCACCATTGATTCAATATCATTTAAATATGCATTAAAAACTAATGGGCGTTATATACTTATTTATCTGACGAATAGGAATTATTTTCTCCGACTTTGTATGAAATAATATTTTTATTAAAACAAATTTACTATAAACTTACATTTTTATTTTACAATTATAACACCATAATTTATGAAATATCAAAAACGATTATAATAATATATTATATTATCTTATTTTATTATTATTAATATTATTACTATCATTATTATTGTTATTATTATAATAGCTATTTATTTTTAAACGTATTGAAAAAAACAAATTACCAAAATAAAAGAAAGTTTATTACGATGTCTTAAGTGTATGATTGCAATAGACGTACCGACGTACCCGCAGAATATTATAATTTTTGCTGGAACAAGTACAACTTGCAGTAACGTGAAATAATTGGGGCTAGGTAAATTGAGTCCGCGATATTTTGTGTACATTTTGAAAGCGGTAAATTGAGTCCCGGGGAAAAAAAAAAAGATATGAGATAAGTTGTGTCCCGGGGAAAAAAAGGTAGTAGGTAAATTGAGTCCCAATTACTAACTATACTACCTCACCGTAGTCGTTTTACAAATGTCAATTCACACTGTTTCTATCGGTTATCGATTCCATTGTGATCAAATAACTTCGTAACGTCGTAACTTTAATTATGTCTAATTAAGATACATTTATAGGTAGTGGTGTATTGGAGGGTATAAGCGAGTATACGCCATATACCCGGATCCCTATTTTTGGATTTATGCATATACCTTTAAGAAAATTAGTCTATCATGGATATACGCTAACTAATCATTCGTACATAATGGATATACGCAAGCTTCTAATTTTTCATCACCACAAGGCATACATTATACAACAACAGTATAGAATTTATTATTATTATATACTATAGCCACTATCCAAAAATAGCCTCGTGCCCGCATAAACTTCGATTAAATTTCCCCCGACTTCAGGTATTTGCGGAGACGGTCGGAAACTGCCGACGTTTACATACTGTAATATCAGAATTTAAACAATACCGGTGGACGCGTGCGATATTGTATTATACATCAATAGTCAAAAAGTTCTGTTTATAAATTTATCACAATATTAACAGATCTGTCTACGATTTTTTGGATAGATTGTGATTATTAATTATTATATTGTTGTCAGTTTGTCACTTAGTATTTATTCGTCACATGTTTGTGTAAATTATTTTAAATTAATACTAAAATATTATTACACATAATAAAACATTAGGTTTCATGAAAATAAATATTAACATAAATTTAAGGTTTCATTGATGATAAATACCTATGAGTTAATTAAAATAAGTTTAAAATTTAGAATTCCATAGCAGGCGTGAATCCAAGGGGACTAAGGGGGCGCGTGCCCACTTCAAATTCCAAAAAATACTTTCGTTGAAATGTACACCCCCCCCCCCATCTTAGGAAAAAAGTCTGGCGGGGGTATATCCCACGTCTCCATTATATTATGTAATTTTGAGTGTAGGTAGGTAGAACATAGCCCCCTCCCATCCCACCAATAAACGCTTATGTGCTGAGCGTATACCCTAGAAAAAAATTACGAATACACCACTGTATATAGGCATATACGTACATTAGTTCGTCGTATATTGTGTGTCAGTTATCAGTTAACACCAATATTGATAATAGTTTTTATGATTACACATAGACACGAGTGTATGAAATCTTAGCATTTTCACTTTATTTTTAGTAGCGTGCATCGCGTACTGTACGCCGATTTGAGTTTGCTAAATTCGTTTCTTTTAAGTTTTTACCGAAAGTGTAAACACAATAATATTAAAATTTACTTCTAATAAAAATTATTAGATATTTAAAAAAAAATTGTTTACCTTGGACTTAACCTACTACCTTTTTTCTCGGGACCTAACTTACCTACTACCTTTTTTTCCTCGAGACCCAACTTACCTACTGCCTTTATTTTTCCGGGACCCAATTTACCAAGAAAAAGTTATTTAGGACCCAATTTACCAACTCCCAAATAATTATTTGGGAGTTCATGAATCGCTGTATACATACGTGTCAACAAATAATTAACTATAATTCCTATCCTACGAAGGTCTTTCTGTCTATTTGGAACTTTGTACTTGACATATATTTTTATGACATCAAAACGATAAAATAAATTACGAACAAATAAAAAATATAAAATTATAAATAAATATTATTTATATATTAGAACTACTCTTGTTTTTATATATCAAATTTTTTATATTTTAACCATAATTTATTAACTATTACTTGCTTGTGATCTTATAAAAGTACACTCTGGAGAATAGTATAATTAAGTTGTTCTTGAAACACAATTAACATAAATTATATTATGATGTACTTCTCAACTTCTGCAGTTATGTAGAAAAATAATTAAATTTAATACACAATACAACAGTGTTTAAAATTGAGTTACACTAATTGGATGAACAAATTTTAAATTTTCAACGAAAAACTTCTTTCAATTAAAACTGTGAGTGTAAACAAAGTAAATTTCTATGAGTATGTTACATATTTTTAACCAATGAAATTAAAAAAATTTAACCCCGAGATATGAACTAATAAATTTATTATCTTTTATTGAAAAAGTTTAAATTTTTTTCTATTTCGGTGTCAATAGTTAATATCGTGTTCAAATACATAATTACAAATAAATGGTTTTCTCAACATGAAGTATCGAATGGATTGAATAGATTGCTCACTCATAAGTATTATTCTAATTCTAGATCGAAATTATTTCAAAGTTGAAATTGTGACAGACTTTACGAACGTATCAGCTATATTATTTTCTTCAAAACTGTCTGACTATAAATGAGAGTTCATTTTTTTCGAAGTTCTATTCTGAATTGTAAATATTGCACATAATATAATATATTAACATCACATTTTTGGAAAATTCTCAGTGCAGTTGTGTAGAGTATAAAATCACATATCGAAACTACATTCTAGAAGGTCAATTCTGAGTATGAAAACTTAGTAGATAATAATTATTATGAAACTATAATTTATGAAGCTTGGAGTATTTTTAAACAGATTTATGACTTAAAATATTTTATTTAATTATTTACTTTTTACTAATTAAGCCTTGAATAACAGTTGAAAAGTTTTGATAAAATGTTTTTATTGAACTCAATCTCACCTATCTATTATCTACCGTTCACATTTGTTATTTGCTTACTATTTATATTTAACTGTATAAAATTGTAGTTGAGCATTAGTCATTTAATAAACAATTATATTACAACGTTTTGGAATGATTCAAATTCCAGTTAAAATTGTAGTTTTTATTATTATTACAGTAATATTACATTGGCTTGATTTTACGATACCGTGAAAAATGATTTGTTGAAACTTTGTCGGCAGGTAACTGGAACATTAACGATTTCGACATGACCGAAATACTTAAAGCGTCACTGGCAACGTTAGAACTGGGAATTTTAGAACCGAGGGCTCAGATCCTCGGCGGTGTGGTCATATTTGACATGGGTGGATTCACGTTACAACACGCTTACCAGATCACACCAAAAGTCGTTTCGACGATTTTCGACCTCATCGTGGTACGTCGATTTTTTCTTTGCCAAGTGAAATGTATCGATTCCCGGTGGAGCAATGTACCCCCTATATGTTTCATGTAATAACAATGCATAACGTTTATTTCTCTCTCACCCTTCACAGTATAGCATACCGATGAAAACGCACGCGATCCACATAATCAACGAGTCGTGGGTGTTCGAGACGGTGTTCAATCTCTTCAAACCGTTTTTGGGCAAGCGTTACAACGAAATGGTACGTATGTTATTTGCAACAATATTATATTATATAATTATACGCGGAAATAAATAATGAAAATATGCTTGCATGTACGTGCTATGTCAGTGATTGAGCATAAATCTGTTCATCACAAATGGTGTTACTCACAGTTGTACGTACGTATTGTCGTGAAAAAAATAGACGTTTACGAAATGAAAATTGAAACGTATCCATACGGTGAAACTTCAAGTCCAAATCCCTCTCCAACCATAGAAGTTGAAAATGTCTCATTTTTATATTATTTTACATTAAAAGATTAATTATATTATTTATTAATTATTACGAAGAAATTGCGTACAATTTGATCTATTCGTTATAACTATAATGACTTGGTCTAGGTATTTTGGGTCTGTGAACTTTGAAAGGAACTGACTTGTAATTTTTATTTTCCTATATTAGGGTTTAATCTCTTGTAACATCGTTTTATATATTCTATACTTATTGTATGATTTTTTTTATTATTCTGTTTTCAAATTTGTAAAATAATAATCATAACAAATTTCTAATACAAATACTATCAGAACATTAAAAATGTAGAACATATAAAGAAAGAGAATCTTGGTATTAAAGTAATAGAGATAGTAATATTTTACTAATAACCAATACAATAATATTATAGGCAGTTTGTTAAAGTTTTGGCAATATAAACGTGCAATACTTATGCGCGTAAGCAAAATGTATTATTATTGGTCGTATTGTATTTAGTAGTTGTTGCTTACAATCATTTCGATGTGAAAACAATAATAACGATACCGAATCGAAGAACTATTAAAAACTGTATTCGAATATATGTTTTCTTAACTCTATTTACGATTTTTCTATTAAATACTCTTATTTGTTGTTAGTTTTCACAAAGATTCCTATTCTGATATTGTACCTCCGTATTTTAATGACCCGATGAGTATCTATCTATATTTTTTTGTAAACGAGATTCTAGTGCTTGTTTTGACGTATGTTATTAGACATTTATTATATAATTTTGCATATATTATTTTTTGATACAGTTATAACCTAATCTTCAACAGGAAGTTCGTTGGAAAAACGATAAACTTATTATATTATGACCTCTGTTTAAAATATATTTTAATACATAGCAGTGGTAGCTAACTTTTAAAGCCTCATAATCAACTTTCGTGTTTTGCTAAATTGTCATGATCGGCCACTTTTTGTCACTGAGCAAAAATATATTTTATATACATGCATGTTACATGTTACACTTTCTTTATTTTTTCAATTTAAAATATTAATAAGTAATATTAACTTTAATTTTAAAATTTTACATAACACGTATTTTAGTATATTTTTCATCAATTTATACGAATGTGATATTTAATACGGAATATTCATGAGATTACGTACATAGCTACTCGATATTTCAGTCTATAATTTTATTATTCATAATTATTTATTACTATTATTATTATTATATATTGTATTAGTTAATTTTTCTTTTTTTTTTCGTAGTTTAAAGAAAATATAAAAATTTACAAAAAAAAATAAATATTTAAGTCAGTGACTGGGGAACCTTATGGTTTTTACGGTTTCGGTTTTTGAAAAATACAAAATGAAGGTTAATGTTAGTATTCTGGTATTATAGGGTTCTAAATATAATTATTTTTAATGTATTTCTTAATATTGTTCGGTACACTTTTAAATAATTATATATTTATGGTGTGTTAACAGCATTATAGATAATCCATTATAATGTATAGTGCTTAGGCACATTAAAAATAAACTAGGCATTAAGGCATAATATACAAAAATAAATATTTCAAAATATAACTCTACAAATACGTATATAAATATATATATACGAGTATATATATATATATGTGTGTGTGTGTGTGTGTGTGTGTGTCGCTATAAGTTTTTTAAATTTAAATTTAAATTTTAAATTTTTATCTGAAAAATGAAAAGGAGTCACGATCAACTCAAACTCGTATCGCGATCGACCTGTTAGCCACCCCTGATATATAGTATATTTTAAACTGTAATAAGGACGTACTATCACTTACATGAAAATTTGTACGAATTTTAGAATTATCAAAATATTATGTTTTAAATTTTATATTTTAACTAGTAATTTGAAAAAAAAATGCTAATCATTATGCGCGTGCGTAACTAACACTGCTATTTAACTTGTTCTATTTATTATTTATAGTTGTTCTTCCATGGTAAAAACTTGGAGTCGCTGCATAAACATATTGATCCTAAGTATTTACCAAAAGTTTATGGTGGAGTGCGTCCGAACTACCCATATCAACATTGGTTTACAAATTTGCAAAAAAACGCCGCTGTGACAAAAGGTAAAATAAAGAATATAACGTAAGTCATAGTTGAGGTAGAACATAACGTAACGTTAAGATTGAGCTTAAGAGTTGTTGTTGGTAAAGATTTCAATATTTTACAATACCAATTAATAATAATTATTGTATCTAATCAAAATTATTGTTATCGAATATTCTATTCAATATAATTTATATTTAAGTAATATTGATTTGGATTAATAACATTAAAACGCTGTATAATATTATATGTTATAAACTTTATACACACATGGTATTCGATATAATATTAGTGATTTAAATAAAAACACACAACTGTTTATTTTCAAATACTCGTATTAATATTTGTGTTATACAGCGTTTTATTTATGTTCATTAATAAATATCCATCGATTTACTTTTTTATTTAATTAATGAAAACGTATAAATTATGAAACATAAATTATTATACCATACAAAACAATTAATTATTTATTTTTAAGGAAAAGTAGTGAATATATATAAATAGATTTCGACCAATTAATGTTCAGAACTCACAAAAGTAGATCTTAGTAGTTGCGCCTATATGGTTCATTACACCCACAAACAGAAAAAAAAATGTAAAAAATTTAAGTAATTTTAATTTCTTGAATTAATTTGATTAAAATGTTTAATCTAAATGTGATATAAATATATTAAATAAATAATTTAATCAAACACAGTTTTTAAACACAATACATTTTTAAATTATTATTTGAATGATATAAAAATTATTAAACGGAGTGTTATAAACTATTCTTTTAAATGTTTAATCTCAAATATTACATTTTATATAAATAATAATGCTATTGTAATTTTTTTTTTATTTCAGAAATGAAAAGTTTGGGTTATTTGCAGTGAATCTAAACAATGATACGTGTTGTATTGTTATACTTGTTTGTAATATTTTATAAGTTTTTTCCTTTTCATTTATGGTTCATGTTTATCATTTTTATTATTTCCTTTTTAATTATATATAAATATACATTATTTTAAATAAATCCATGACATTGATCATATTTTACATAAAATGTGTTTTAGTATAATTATTATACCCCGTTTAACGTTTACATAACAAAAATACGAATTTATTTAATAAAAATCTACTGAGACCAAGTGTTTACGGTCTTTTTGTCACCACCTAAATGATACTAGCGATGAAGACCCAAAAATAGTGGAACATACTTTGCATCTTGTTTCTTGATCACTGAGACAAACGTACTATTATGGAAAAATTTAAAATAACTATTAAGAAAATGTTGAAAATATTGTTGTAATATTTACGTTGTAAATTTACATTTACTGATGTAAATAGATATCGAAAAAATTAGTCGTATACAAGGATTGTGGGTAAAAGGAAAACCAGTGGATTTTTATTATTCTTAGTGCCTACAATGTATTGTAATGTATTAATTAGTTATTACTCGTAGTAAATGAAAAGGTAAACCGTCATAAAGTTTAACGGTGAATTTCTCGTAAAAAGTATTAAAAAACAAAAAAAAAAACGGTTTTTTCTTTTTACACTCCAGCACATTTTTCACATTGGGCATCATCACACCACTATATTAAAATAACAATATGACACTTAGTACTTGAAATTGTGTAACAATTATGATCAGAGAGCGAAGTAAAACGTATTAAAAAAACAGTCCTTTGGAATCTTTACTGAATAATTTGCCCACCTATTTTATTAAAATTTTTTTGTTACATTAAGTAATTCATTCACAAATTACAATACTAATAGATTTCTACATCAAAAGTATTTGTTCGAAAGACGTGGGTTGAAACACATGATTATACATGCATGTTAGTGTTAAATTCCTTTATTTTATGAAATTACTAGGTATCAGTTCATGAATTACCTACGAATGTTAATTTATGTATGAAATCGTACATGAAAATTATACTTTAACTAGTTATTTCACAGAATATCTAGTTACTCTAAACAATTTTAGTTTAATATATGTATAAAATATATTTTTTTAATTTATTTTTTATTTTTATAATAATTATACAATCTCTACTTCTTAGGATGATAAGTATTTAAGAAGTCACCCACTAGTGACTCTTTGCGTGATAGGAGATTTGAGAAGATAAGGTAATATATTTTTTTTTTTTATTATTTATTTATTTAATTTAATTTTTTTTTTTTTTTTTTTTAAAGAGAGAGAAGAGTATGAGTGACTTATTGTAAAAGATCTCTACAATATCTCCTTTTCAATCGACGGCGAGGACTATCAGAAAGTGCTAAGTTACCTAAGTCACTAATTAGTGGGTTATTATGGTTTGCCAAACGTGAGAAGAATCGTTTGTAAAATAATACAGATTCCTCTTCGATCGTTTTAATATGTAGATCGTTGTGGAGTGTTAGTTTTGAAATGTATGGTGGAGTGTTAGTGAGTTGATGTAGAGTGATATTCTGATAAGTTTAGATTTTGTTTAGATTCGATTTCTAAGCCGTGCTCCAAAGTTGAAGATCGTAAGTCCAGATTAGTTTTAATAATTATTTGTAAATTAGCAGTTAATTTTTATGTTTGTGCATTTATTTTTTGATAACATAGTTTTGAGCATATTAGAACGAGAGTTTAAAATTAGTCTTTTAAATCTGATGTGTGGATTCTAAGTCAATATTTTATCTATGATAAGGCCTAAATATTTACTGTATTGGATGCGAGTATAGGTATTTTATCCAATGAAACTGGAGGTCAGAGTCCATGTTTCAAGGTGAAGGTGTAATGAATTGACTTAGTGTGATTCAGTTTTGTTCTCCATATGGTGTACCATGTTGAGATAAGATTAAGATGCATTTGTAGATCAAGAGAGGCTATTAGGGGATTTTCATGAATTTAAATTAATTTTTTGTTATCAGTGTAATCAGCAACAAGGGTGTTTTCAGTGACCGGTTGATCAGAGACACAGATGTTAAATGATAAAGAAGATAGAATACCACCTTGGAGTACACCTGCATTTTTTTTTCTTGCATATGGCGTAGGCTTATTAGTGAAAAAAAGATTAAATAAACATTAAATTAACAAAGTAACGAGGACTAGAGTAGATAGATTTACAATAAACTAATAAATTTAACAGTAACAAATATAATAATAATAAAAGCTCATAATATATTTAAAAGCGAACTTTGGTCTTAGACAGCCAATCCATTGCTTCATCATCGTCCTTGTGAAGTCCCTCAGTTCCTCCCTTGTAACTAGTTTGAGGGCATTCCTCCACAATGTGTTTGATGGATTGTATTTGTCCGCAATCGCAAAAGGGAGAGTTTTTTATCTTCCATTTATGTAGAAGGTAGTTACAATTACCCTGCTCCGTTCGTATCCTGTTTAGGTTGGTCCATAAAGCTCTCAAGCAATCAAATCCTGGGACTCTTTGGGTTGGGTCGCTTATCAGGTGTCTATTTTTTGCATTACCTTTTTCTCAGTATAGTTTCCACATATCCTCCATACTATCAAAATTATTTTCTATTGACCAGATTGGATTCCTTGATCTTAATCTTTTAGATGGTGCGCTATTTATGTCGTTGTATATAGGGAGATTCACTAATTTATTGATTTTTTATAACAACTTAACAGTTGAGAAATGTCTTCGAGCCGCCGGGGGGGCTATTTTTGAAAGGAATGGAAGCCACTGTAGGTTAGTAGCCCAGACATAGCCTGTAATGATTCGCATAGTATTATTTAGTTGGGTGTCAACCTTTTTTGCATGTACACTTCTCTCCGAAACGGGGGCGAAATACTCCGCGACGCTGTATACCAAGGCTAGGGCCGATATGCGTAGTACATTTGCTCGGCAGCCCCAGCTTGTTCCGGCTAGTTTATTAATAATATTATTCCTTGTTTTCAATTTATTTTTTACATCTTCAAGGTGTTGGTTGTAGGTTAATATTCTGTTCAGTTTGATCCCTAGATATTTTGGAACATCGTTACACATTAGTTGGTTCCCTGAACTATCAAGTGTAGTTTTCTGTTAGTATCTCTGTTGTTCAAGTGGAACGCTATGGATGTGGTTTTATTAGGGTTAAGAGTGAGGAACCAGGATTTGAAATATTTCTGTATTCTTACTAGGTCTTCGTTTAAAATATCCTCAACCTTTTCAAATGATTCTACTTGAGCTGCTAACCCCACGTCATCCGCGTACATAAATTCGCGTGACGAAGTGTTTGTGATATCTGCTGTGTAGGCATTAAACAGGATGGAGGAGAGTACTAAGCCCTGAGGAAGACCATTTTAAAGGAATTTGTATTTGCTTACCTTTCCATTTAGATGAACTTTAAATTTTCTGTCTGACAATATATTGTCAATTAGTCACAATGATGTTTTACATCTTAGAATTTTGGCTAACTTCAAAAGTAAACCTCGTTTCCACACCATATCGTAGGCGCAAGACAGGTCTAGGAAAACAGCTCCCGTTTTTAGTTTTTTTTGAAACCCTTTTTCTATAAACGTCGTCAGTGATAGTAATTGTTCACTGCAACTTTTTCCCTATCTAAAGCCCGCCTGTTCTGCTGGCAGGTGTTCTTCGATTTTGGTTTGGATTCTTTTTAGGAGTACTCTTTCAAATAACTTGTAGACAACGGATAACAGTGAGATGGGTCTGTAGCTTTTTGAGTCATCATCAGGCTTACCAGGTTTTAATATTGCAACTACTTTAGCTTCCCACCATTGTTCTGGTAATGTATTGTTATTTTTTACTGATGAAAAAAGTCTTGATAGCCAAAATTTCCCTTTAATGCCCATATTTTTGAGGAATTCTGGAAGTATACCATCTTCGCCTGCAGCTTTACCGTTTTTTAGAAGTCTTAGGGCAGCCTCCACTTCCTCCACTCCAAAGTCATTCATATTTTCTGATTTTTCTGCACATAATTGAAGCTCTTCCTTGTAATCAGTTTTCATCTTCATCTTATCGGGTTTTTTGGGTTTTATATTAGCGGTCTTATGAAGAATGGTTGAGATAGAGTTTGGTGAGACTTTGCTACCTTTCCATGAGGTTTGGGCTACCCCCAGTTTGACTTCGAACTTCTATGCAGCAGAAAAGGTTTAACAACACCTCAATATTATATATTGAAAAATAAATTTCTAAATCTATTAATACTTAAACAATTGTTAATATATTTGCACAAAAAAATAGATGTATACAATTAAAATAAAAATAATTTAGTAGTAATATTTTATTTTTTTATGTTCCTATTACCTGTATATATATATTTAGTACCTCAGCTAGAATCAAGTAAGAGTAGCCACTACAGTTAGTAGGTGAAAGCGTCGGAAGCGACTAAAAATATTTGTTTTCGCTAATGAATAAGACAAAAATGTTAAGCCCCCCCCCCCACAGATAAAACCAAACATCCTCTAATATATATATTATATATTATAATTATTATTATTATGAAAAAATAAACATTATTTAATATTTATTACAATAAATTTCAATTTTTAATTATAAAATTAAATTAATTTTTCTTTTTATTTTGCTAATTCGTTTAAAATAATATTGTATTATAGAGAACGTTATTACATGTAAATAATATTACATTTTCATATTTGGATACTTGGTTGATATTAAACGCAACTGATCTATTGATATTGATCGTAACAAAACGCAAGCAATTACTATGAATAATATTAAAAAAAAACCCAAGGGGGTGGTTTGAACTTCCAAAACCACCCCCATGGACATGCCATTGCACGAGAGAATACGAAAATAATATATACACACGTTGCACTCATCATAGATTTTTCGGACATATTTACAAAACAATTATTAAAATAAACTTATTATTACGGCGCATGTTCACGAGCGTGCGTGCAGCTGTTTCTATCGCGTATATTCTGTTCCGATGTAATTCAAGCAATGATCGAGCATTGTACGTGGGGTGCGGTGCACGGGAATCAAATTATCGCTATTATCGAACCGCACCTTCTTCTTTGATATAAAAATATTTCAA